ACGCCCATCAAACCAGTGCCGGGCCAACCCTACCGCTAGAGTGGCCGGTCAGAAAAGCCACCGGCCTCCCGGTTCACTGGGGGTTGGTCGATGACTTTCTAGAGCTTCAGCGGCCCCACACTGACCCGTGGGCGGCCGCCTTCAAGCTTTTACAGGGTTCTGGTCCCAGGCCGTCTCCGATCGGTGGGTGCTTCAAACGATCCAGTTCGGTTATATTCTAGAGTTTATGAACACCCCCCTCCCAAACAAGCCATTGTATTTAAGCAACTGGATTAAATCCAACATCATTTACGTTAATGACCTTCTGACCGAAAATGGTGAATTGTCAACTGAGTCAAACTAATTAAGAAACATAACTGGTTAGCAGAAATGTACACATTACAGAAGGCCATACCAAAAGAATGGTTAAGAACCCTAGCAAATAATAAAAACAAAACTCCCTTTGAAAGACAAGTCTACGTTAATGATGCTTTAAGCAGTTTAGAAAATATTACAACTAAAGAAATATACAAGGTTTTAATTGATGAAAAGGGTAAAACGCCAGTTAGTCACAAGCGCTGGGAAGATATACTAAATGAAGAAATACAGTGGAATTCTGTGTGGAAACAAAAAATTATTAACATAAAAGAAGCTAAGTTAAGAAACTTTAATTACAAATTTGTACACCGCATAGTACCAACTAAAAACTTATTGTATAAATGGAAAATTGTGAATAGTCCGTTGTGTTGCTTATGTAACGAGATTGATGATAACATTCATAGTTTTGTGACATGTGTACATACATTAAAATTTTGGAATGAGTTTGCTCAGTATCACCAAGCGATAACAAAACATTGTTTTAAATTGCCAAAAATGTTTAATTTAGTAACAAGCCTTGATTTCGATTTTGAAATAAATTTGATTATAACAATAGCAATGTATTCCATATTTAAAGTAAGATTAAAGACATATCAAGACAATAAGTGGATCAGCACTTTTGACACTTTCATTCGAGAACTTTATTGGAGAGCTAAACTACAGAAGAAAAACAAAAAACTTCTGGAAAAAGTTTCTGTAACATCTTATTTTAATTAATGTAATATAATGTAATTAAGTAATTAATACGTATGTTTTTCTAAAAATGTAAACAATGTTGCGAGAAATAAAAGCACTAGACGCAATAAATGGGGGAACCCCCCCCCCCCCCCCCCCCATCGGACACCATAATTCGTCAAACCAAGGTTCCAGCCGAGCCGGCCAAACGCATAGCCTTGGAAACGGAAATGAAATCCCTCCTTACCAAAAACGCAGTTCGCATAGTTCCACCGGGAAGAGGACCGTCCAGTTTCCTGTCTACCTTTTTCCTAACACCCAAAGGGAACACAGGAACGTGGCGACCGATCTTGAACCTGAAACCACTCAACAGATTTTTCCGCCCCAAATGTTTCCGTATAGATTCTCTTTGAACAATCCTCAACTTGATTCCAACTCCGTCATGGGCTACATCCCTCGATCTGAAAGACACTTACCTACATGTACCCATACACCCGCAGCATTACGAATTCCTACGTTTTCAATACAACATCAGAATTTTTATGTACCTGGACGACTGGCTCATTGTCGGCCATTCAAGGACAGAAGCCTACCGAGCCCTTCAAGAAACATTGTCCTTGATCACACGTCTGGGGTTCCTGAACACACTTAACCCCAACACAAACACCGACGTTCCTGGGGGCCATGCTCAATCTCAAAACAAACACGGCTTTCCCAACGGACATACGACTACGAAATCTCCAACAGTGCATCAAACTGTTCCTCCAGGAGACATCAGCCCCAGTAGCAGCATGACTGAAAATACCGGGGCTTATGGTAAAGCATGGTGGATCTCGTTCCACATTGTCGACTCCGCATGCATCCTATCCAGCTCCACCTCCTTGTACATTACTGCCCGAAGCTTCACTTCACTCGTAAGATGAGCGCTGTAGACTCTCTCTCCCCCCCCCCACCCCCTCCCAGTCGTGTGGGGGTTGTACAGCACCAACGCCCACACATTACTGTGCGTGTACGTGCCCGTTGTAGTGCGTGCAATACTACAAGCCCGCCATGGAGCCGATGTACAGTGCAGCCGGTAGCTGCATCCAGGCGTGCCGTTCTAGTCCAGGCCAGGAACCAGAGGATGCCGTCGTTTGCAGCTACAAACCAGGCCTACCTGCCGAGAACGAGACAGGATTTGCGGGAGTCGATGACCAGACGAAAATCGCCAACGAGATGGACGCGTACTGCCAGGGATCGAGGCCGTACGATACAGATCCAAGATGGCGGTGCCCATGGAACATTGCTAACGTCAGACTGGGATCGACAACCAGCGTTCTTGCCGTGAAAAATCGCAAATGCACATCGATCTCTGCCAGCCCTGCTGATAACTGTTGATATGGAAGATCGCCGCAAGCCCCGATTGAAATTTTAACTTTGTTTTATCGTACACGGAACATCGTTTGTATCGTCGCGCACGAGTACAAATTCCCAATTCGCAAGGAAAGCCAGCATGTTCGCCGTGGCCATACCGAGCCAGTCTAAACCAGGATGGATATTTACTGCCTGTCTGCAAGCCCACAGCCTTTGAACTGTTGAACACTGATCAACGCCGCCGCCAATACTGATTTAAAGGAACTGGACAGTGCATCCACCTTCAAGAGACTTGAACTTGAACATGTTGAAGTAGGTTTAAAAAAAAAAAAAAATTGTTTTGCTGTTTCTAATGTCATGTGATGATATGCATATAGTTTGACCTACATGTGTACGTACAGAGTATTAATGCATGTTATGCCAGAGTTCTTGTGTTAAAAAAGGCCTTGCATATATGGTAGTTATTGCTAATTACTGTTTTTCATTGCGGTTCAGACATTTGTGTTTATCTTGAAACCATATTAAGGTGTCAAAACTGCTGTGATATTGTGTTGATAGCACACATGTACATTTGCGTTGCGCACTGTTATGGTTCAATGTATTTGGTATGCATACTTTTAAGTAGTGTAATACAAGTGGATGTTAGTGGTGTATCTTTTGCTCACATTGATAAGCTGTATAGCTAATTTCAGTGATTCAGAGATGGCTACACCTAGGCAATATTTGGGTAATGTACCGCAGTTTGAAGCAGGTTATAATTTTTATGAGTGGGTAGAGCTTTTGGAAGCTTGGCTACAAGCCAATGAGATTACTGATGATGACAAGCAAAGGTCGGTTTTCTTAACCAATTTAGGTAGTTAGAAGTACCATACCCTACGGGCTCTAGTCCAGCCAAAAAAGCCCACAGAGAAGACGTACAAGGAATGCAAAGACGTGCTTAAGGCACATTTCTCGCCAAAACCTACTGAGATTGTTCAGAGATATAGGTTTTACACTTGTATTCAGAAAGTCAATGAAACTATTCCCCAGTTTGTTGCTAACTTAAGACAACTTAGTGAGGGATGTAACTTCAAGGAGTTAGATAATATGCTAAGAGATAGAGTAGTAGTAGGATGCCGTGACACGGCTACCCAGAGAAAGCTCCTCAGTGAGTCTGAGTGAGTCAAAACTAACTTTCGAAAAGGCCCTCCAAATAGCTAGGGCTATGGAAGTTGCAAATAAGGATGTAGAAAATCTAAGAAACATCGGAAACCAGCCCGATAGCCCCTCGGGCACAGTAGTACATAAAATGCAAGGGACGCCCCCTCTGCAGAAAAACCGAGAAAAGCCCCCAACACAGGCAACCAGAGAAGCCAGCGGTCCTGTGAGCAAGCCAAGAAAAAGATGTTGGTGCTGTGGTGCCTGCCAAGCCCCTACATCCTGCCCGTTCCAGAAGGAGAAGTGCTTCAGGTGCTCTCAAGTGGGACATACTAAGAGCCAGTGTGATAAAGTGCAAGCTTTTCAGAAGCAGGAATCTTATCGCCGCCTCCAAAGCACACATTATCTAGGAGATGATGAGGAATCAAGCCCAAAAGCGGAAGACCTCAGCCATTTAAAGGAGGGTTCACTCCATAAGTTGAGCCGGCCAAATCCCTTCATAACCAAACTTTTGGTTAATCGCAAGGAGATTAAGATGGAAGTCGACACAGGCAGCCCCTGGACAGTTGTTTCCAGTGCCTTTAGCCAAGGTACTGCCATGCAGCTCACTGATGTCAAGCTTAACTCCTACACAGGTGACACTGTTGTCATACTCGAAGAAGCATCAGTAGATGTGCAGATTTCGTCTCACAAGAAGCCATAGAAGATGCCCTTATTGGTCGTAGATCATGGAGCAAGTCTGATGGGAAGAGATTGGATACAAGCATATCCTTCTGTAGTCAGCGAGTTTACCAGCTAAGCAGTGGCGTAGCCACCGTGGGGGCGTGGGGGGGGGGGGCGACCGCCCCCCCATGAAACCTTGTCGCCCCCCCAGTCGCCCCCCCACTGAGATTTTGAGTTTCTAAAAAAATTATCATTGATCTAAATCTAAATAGTCGCGAATGATCCACATGATGACCACTGAGAAACGACCCTTCGACCGGTGACCGCGGACCAGTAAGCTGACAACCGGCGTGACATAGCGCATAATGATAATCTAAAATGCGTATTAACACCCACTGCACTGCTCGCTCACACCACGGAACACGTATTATAGACAGGTGGTCCGTGGGTCACACAGTTTCAGTCAGCGATATCACGCGAATCGGCCACGCACAAACTTTTCAATGACTCCAAATTCAATGACTCCAACCTCGAAAACAATGTTCAAAAAATTTTCTTATGCCTTTAGCTTAGAAAACCTCGAAAATTATGTTTAAATTATTATCTTTTGTGCTAAGATAATTATTGGTTAAAGTGGTAAGAAATTGCCTCAGATCACACCAAAGAGCATCGAGAATCCAATTTTTTTCGGGGCCCTTAAGCGGGCCCCGAACCCCACACCTATAGCTCAGAATACCGATAGCTGATTCAATTACTCCAACCTCAAAAACGATGTTCAAATAAATATCTTTTGCTAAGAAAATATTAGTTAAAGCATGGAGGAAAATGGTAAGAAATTGGTTCAGATCACACCACAGAACATCTAAAATCCAATTTTTTTCAGGGCCCTTAAGCGGGCCCCGAACCCCCACGCCGTAAGGGCTTCGCGCTCGCATCAGTTTTGATCAAGGTATGTCCCCCCCCCCACTTTTGAGAAGCGATTGACGCCCCTACGTGACGTCCCCCCATGAAATGTTCCAGCCCCCCCCCCCCCCCCCCCCACTGTAAAATTCATGGCTACGCCACTGCAGCTAAGGGAAAACTCAAAAGCCAAGCCTCAGCATCAACAAGGTGCAAAACGATCTGGAGTCGCTACTCAGCCAACATAATGCTGTTTTTGACTGCTCCAAAGTTGGTATATTGGAAGGCTACCAAGCCAAGGTGTATCCTCAGGAGGTCGTGGACGGGACATACTTCTACAAAGCCGCCCCAGTCCCGTATGCAATGAAAAGCAAAATAGATGCTACCTTAGATGATCTCCTCGAGAAAGGCATTATTGAGCCCAAGTAATTCGCTGATTATGCCTGCCCAGTAGTTGCTGTAAAGTCAGAATTTGTGGCAACTGCAAGCTTACTGCAAATAAAGTCTTGAAGCTAGAGCAGTACCCGATACCGACTCTGGATGATCTTCTTCAAACAGCAAAAGGAGGCCAGAAGTACAGCAAGCTAGACTTGTCCCATGCCTATCACCAAATAGAACTTGATCCGTCAGCACGGAAATACACCACCATCAACACACATAGAGGACTATTCCAATACACAAGGTTACCGTTTGGAATAGCTAGTGCTCCAGCCCTATTCCAGAGGACAATGGAATCTCTATTGGCAGACATTCCAATGTGCAGGCCGTACTTGGATGACATCATCGTTACTGGCAAGAATGACGAGGAGCACCTGGCCAGTTTAAAAGCTGTGTTGTCCAGATTGGAAGAGAATGGACTGCGTGTAAAGCAGGAAAAATGCACATTCCTGCAGCCCTCCATCGAGTATTTGGGACATGGTCTAAACAAGGACGGAAAAAGTCCATTGCTGAAGAAACTGGACGTCATCAAGAATGCAGAGAGACCTACAAACCAAACTCAGCTGCAAGCCTACCTAGGACTTCTAGGTTACTAAATTCATCCCCAACTTGACACAGGAGATTGCGCCACTCACACAACTGTTGAAGGCAGAGTATGCATCAAAGAAGAAAAGCAATCCTGGAAAGCCCGACCCAAGCTTCAAATGGGGACCTGAACAGCAGAAGGCATTCGAAAAGTGCGAAGAAACTCTTGCAGAGTGATAACGTCGTAACACACAATACTGCAGACAGACGCCAGCCCTTACGGACTTGGAGCAGTTATCAGTCACCTAGGACCAGACGGGGAAGAACGCTCCATAGCCTTCGCCTCAAGGACTCTCACAGCCAGCGAACAAAACTATGCCCAGTACGAAAAAGAAAGCCTGTCGATCATTTCGGCTTGAAGAAGTTCCACAAATGGCTATACGGAAGGCAATTCGCAATTCACAATCACCACAGATCACAAGCCACTACTTGGTCTGTTTGGTGACAACAAGCCCGCCAGCCCAATGGCTTCTGCCAGAGTTGCTCGTTGGCATATGATATTGTCAGCCTACAACTACAAGATAGTCCACCGGGAAGGTAGAAAACACCAGAATGCAGATGGATTGTCACGTCTACCAATAGAGGAGACTGCAGCTGAGTGGTCACACCCCAATCTTGCAGAACTTGAAGAGCAGCCAGCAGCCCGAATCAACAACCTTGTTGATATCGACACAAGACCAGTGGAGGCTGAAGAGGTGAAAAGATGCACCCAGAAAGATGCCCTCTTGACGAGAGTAAAGCATCATATCCAAAATGGATGGCCGGAGGACAAGGGTCTGCCACCCAAGTTCAGTCCTTTCACACAAAAGAAGGAAGAACTGACCGTTGAAGATAATATTATGGGGCCACCGAGTCGTCATCCCAGACAATGAGGAGATGCGAGAAAGAATCATGCAAGAACTGCATAGCACTCATCCAGGATTCTCAGTGTTGTTTTCGACAACACCATGTCGATGAGTGATCACGTCACGTCTATCTGCCAATCGGCTAACTATCACCTCCGAAACATCATTAGAATACGAAAGTACATTGATGCTGAAGCCTGCATGTCGCCCTGCTGTCCAGGCACTTGTACTGTCAAGATTGGACTGCTGTAACTCCCTGTTAAATGGTCTCAAACAATCTGACTTTGTCAAGTTACAAAAAAATCCAAAATAGAGCATCTCGTGTTATCTTTTTTCTACCCAAAACATGTTCCCACTTCTCCACTGTAAGAAAAGCTGCACTGGCTCCCAATAGAGAAACGAATGATGTATTAAACGGCCTTGAACATGTATAACTGCATTTCCAGAATTTTCCCCATGTACATTTCCAATTCATTAGGCACAGTGAAGGGCAACTTACTTTCTCAGGGTAACTTCTATATTCCCTGAACCACCAGAAAATCAGGTGACAGAGTATTTTCAATCGCAGGCCCTAGGATGTGGAATTTCCATCGAAAATTCTAGTTCCTTGGCCAAGTTTAATAGGTCATTAAAGACATACTTCTGTAACTACCTTGTCAGACCCGGCCCACGCGTGCCCGCGAGCCCCTGCACTCTTCGGTCTCCCCTGCGATGCTATTGCCAGGCTCTCTTGTCTGAGTGCCACAGGCTGGGCCTGACAGTGGCTTTTCCATTTGGTTTTTCATTATTTTATCCTTGTCATTGTTGTATTTTGGGGGTCATTTTCTGAGCGCTTTGTAACCCTAGGAAAAGGCGCTTTATAAATGTTATTATTATTATTATTATTATTATTAAAAGGGCCAAGCAGCAAAATGTTTCAAGAAAATAACACATGAAACAGCCATATTTAGTGTTGCACGGCTCGAGATTTCCCCTTAAACATGCAATAAAAACAGTCGGATCTGCATACTACTTCACAAGGCATTGATAGGGAAACACAACTACAGTACAGTCTGCAGAATGCACACATTCTTGACGTACAGAATGAGTAATTATTTCATCAATAAGTAACGATAAATTATAAAAGGGGACAATTTTTGCGTCCTGTTCCTTGGTATAATACACTGTACAGCTGGGACAACATGGATGAATCAAATTTCCTTCTCAAATCCCGATGGTGCTGGTGATAATTTGGTTTTAGTAACAAGTTTAACTTGTAGTAACGGTGACTCCAATTTCCATCACACTGCAAGACAGGTTCAACAAGCTGTATGCTGTAGCCCAGGCTGGCTGTAGTTTTATTTAATACGGACTGAGTTGGAGTACAAGAGTCTCTTCAAGAGTATTCTCTAGCATAATAACATAATGTGAACAAGATGGGGCATTTATAAATCCTCACAACTAGTCACTACTACTCCTGCTATGTATTTTATTAATAAGAAATAATACATTCTCTTTTTTTATATAAACAAATTGTGTTTGGAAAGTTTGGGTTTAATATTTTTTTATAAAAAAAAAAATCGCGTTTGTTACAGGTTCTGTTCCTCATGTCTACCTCCAGTGAACCACTTTTTGGCACGTATGCAAAATTTGACTGAACTATGAATGTTGATGGTGCAGACAAAATAAAAATACAGTGGACATTTTGTACAGCATACATTCCCATACAAATGCGCTAAATTTGTACATAATATTAAATCCATGCCACATCATGGATGTTCATTTTGGAGGTTTTTTTTTTGGGGGGGGGGGGTCCACAAGCAGAAAATAAAGCAGATACTTTTATATCTTGCAGAATTCTGAAATAATATATGTGATACCAACAATGAACCCGGCCATTTCACATCTACATTTTTAGGGCCAGGTCAACTGGGTGCACAGTAAACAGCCGCCAACAACTCCAAACGATCCCTGGCGCAAAAAGGATTGGCTCATCACCAAATGGGAACCTTGTCAAAAGCGCATGATAGACAGTTAGATCGTCATGAAGACAAAATTCCACCACCAATGGGAAGACTTGTTCCTAACATCCGAGCGAAGCTGATTTAGTTGACATGGCTGATAGGCAGGACCGCCTAAAAAATCACTGCCTTTCTTAAGATCACACAGATTTCTCAAACACTGTCCATAGCAGTTGCATAGTAACATATTTGTCAAGGAAACACTGTGACGTACAGCGATATTTGTAAATAAAACTCAACATTCGTTGATTCGTGTTTTGATGTCTCATTCAAAATTAAATGACACGTTTTGCCTTTTTATTTATTTATTTATTTATTTATTTATTTCGTTTTCCGGGATATTACAAACAGTGAATCATAGACAAAACAATTACATGTACAAATAACACTGAGTAGTAAACATAACAGAAAACATAACAGAAAACAACAGCCAAAAAGCTCCCGCAGGATTACCCAAAAGAAGAAAGTTTCTGTCGAGGGGCTCTCCAAACTAATTGGATAACAGTGATTGATACATTTAGGATAAAATTCATTAAATAAAATATTTATAAAATTAAGCAGTTATGCAAAATATAATTAAAAAATACAATTAAAAATTACAATAAGAGTAAATAAATAAATAAATAAATAAGTAAATAAATAAATAAATAAACAAATAGATAAATAAATAGATTAAATAGAATATAAATAAAATAAAATGAAATAAATAGAATAAACTAAAATAAAATTAAAATACATGTAAAATAAAATGAAATAAAATAAAATAAGATTAAATTAATTAAAATAAACAAATAAAATAAAATAAAAGCTGGCATACATGCTATGTCCAAATCATTATTATAATAATAATTAATAATAATATGCAGTGAAAGGGAGTTTGTTGAGCCGGATAAATCTGATTTGTGAAAACATGAAGTCAGGATAAAAATATCTTGGGAGGAAAGCTCTAGAATGCATGAGAGATGGGGTCTAGACTGAACAGATGCTCACGTAAAGAATTGATGAGAGGTTTGGGGGAACCTCTCATCAAAGGTCTCGAACATCGGTGGAAAGTGAATTAAAAAACCTGGGAAAGAGGGTGAACAAAGAAAATTTGACACAGTTTGTCCGGCTGTACTGATGTTTGAAGAGGAGGGTGTGGGTTTTCCTAGTGTTGACCTGTGGAAGAAAATGTGAAGAAACAGAAATTTGATTGTAGAGACATTTAATGACAAAGGAAGCACTGAGGTATACTAGTCTGTTGTAGAGGGGAGGCAAGTGAAGTTTGGACAGGCGTTGTTCATAGGAAAGAGAAATAGCAACATTGTAATGGAAGCAAGATTTAGTGAAGTGACGTTGAATTGCCTTAAGGCATTGGATGTGGTTCTTCTGGTGAGGTAGCCAAACCGGCGCGGCGTATTCCAAGATGGGCCTGCAGAGAGAACGATATAATTTGAGAAGAACTTCAGCATTTTTTTATTTTACAGTGCGCCGTATGAAGCCAGCAAGTCTAGAACACTTGGCACAAACAGAATTTACATGTTTGGTCCAGGTTAGGTCGTTCGAAAGAATAACGCCAAGATATTTATAAGACGTGACAACATCAAGAGGTTCATCGGAATCTGCAAAAAAGTAAGGGGTTAGCAACTGCTTTCTGGAGCGGGTAACATGCATAACTTTGCACTTGGTGGAGTTCAGTTGCATCCGATTATCAGAACACCATCTAGAAATAGAGTTGAGGTCATTCTGCAAAATGGCACTGTCATCATTACTTCTAATAATCCTATACAAAACGGTGTCATCAGCATATTGAGGAAGAGAAGATTGAACATGGTTTGGTAAGTCAGCTGTGAAGAAATTAAATAATATACCCCGGTAGGACCAAGGACTGAGCCTTGGGGAACTCCTGAAGTTACTGGTATCCAGTCAGATCTAGTGCCTGAAAAGATGACTCGCTGTTCTCTGTTTGATAGAAATTTACTGATCCATGAAAGTGTGTTACCGCAAATTCCATATTGGTGTAACTTATGAAGGAGGATTGAATGGTCGCACTTGTCGAAGGCTTTAGACCAGTCAAGAAAGATTGCATCAATTCGAGGAGGATTGGAAACATCAAGAACACAAAATAATATTTTGCAAATGAGGTCTAAAATGTTCTCAACATGTTTTTATGACTATGTTTTCATG